CGTATTGTTTCAGATAAAAGCAAATCGCGTCGCTATATCAGTACCTATATTAAAAATCGCCACTTTATATTGATTTCCTTAAAGTACATGAACTGCTACAATGAGTCACACGGTACTGACAAGGAGATAACAATGTGCGATATTTCGTGCAGTTCGTCCGATATATCGCCAAAGTACCCAGTTGTGTTTGGAAGTTTGACTAGGGAATATCCTGTTTGAGAATGAAAATGATAAATCTGTGCTGTTGCTGCTGCCCGGTGAGTAACTTTGAGGATGAGACTGTTACTACAAAAACGCCCACTGGTACGAACGTCCTGTTAAATATAGATTCGCGTTATGTTGACCGTGGCTCACTATTTAGTGACAGAGTTCTCATACTTCGGCAAATTTAGACTCGTCGAAAACACTGTTTTCAATTTGATTAACGTATTGAAACAAGTAGGAACAATTTGCAGTTGGAGTTGAAAAACTACCCCATGTGTTTGGACTTAAGGTATGAAATATAATTTTTTTAATGTATAAGTATCTATATTTAAATGTGGGGACAATAATCCTATTTCGTGATTATCAGAACATAGTTTAGGAATTTTGAATTAACGTTTGGTACAAGTAGAAGTATCCAAATCCAAAACAGATTGTATAAGTTATTGTTGAAAAACCTATCTTACCTTCTATGGAAACTACGAACCAGTCATTCATCATTTATTAAGCGTACAGTGAGGCCCACTATGAACCAGAACAGTCTTGTCACTTTTTTAGAGAACGCGAAGACAGTGGTGTAACAAGTTTTTTTTTCATATTTTGGTTCATAAAAAATGTCGAGTCCTTGTTCTCAGAGCAGTAGTGTACAGTATGTCAAGCAAAACTTTTTATAATTTTCTTGAAATAGAGTCCCAAAACAATGGCCAAAAACTAAGCATACAGTTATACTGGGTTATCCAAAAGTCCCCGTACGGCAGAAAAACTTTCAAAGCATTTTGGGAAAAATGTTTCAGACAAAAGTGTAAGGATTTTTCCCAGGCTATCTGATGGTGACTTTGGATTTGATTTTGCCCTTCAAGGTCATTTGAAGGTCAAGTTAAGTTTATTAAATGGAAACCCCTATTTTTATTAAGGATTTGGAAAGGGCAGGAAATTTTACGTCCAACGATGGTCTTCACCATGACTTTGACAATGACCTTCAAGGTCAAATGTGGGTCGACTCTCAAAAATCCCGGTACGGTAGAACTTTCGAAGAATGAACTTTGTGAAAAAATGTTCCAGACAAAAGTGTAAGGATTTTTCTTTGGTTATCTGATGGTGACCTTGGATTTCACCTTGACTTTAACCTTCAAGGTCATTTGAAGGTCAAGTTAATTTTTTAAATAGGAACCCCTATTTTTTATTGCGGATTTGGAAGGGGCAGGGAATTTTACGTTTAACTATGACCTTGACCAATTCCTTGACCATGACTTTCAAGGTCAAATTAACCTAACGTTGACATCTTTGGACGTGGAATTTCTTGCTTTTTCCAAATCCACAATAAAAAATAGGGGTTTCCATTTAAAAAACTTAACTTGACCTTCAAATGACCTTGAAGGGCAAAGTCAACGTCAAATCCAAGGTCACCATCAGATACCCAGGGAAAAATGCTTACATTTTTGTCTGAAACATTTTCCCCAAAATGCTTTCTTCGAAAGTTTTTCTGCCGTACCGGGACTTTTGGATAACCCTGTATGTATTGAAAACCGGCAAAAAATGTATTTTGTTTCAGTTAAATTCTACCAATATGGAAAATTGTCAACATCATAGCTCTTGTTGCACTCTTTTGATTATATCTTACTATTTATAAGATATAGATTCATCAAATCACTGTAACCGTAAAAGTGTTCTAAATCTAATGTTCTATTAATAAAAAACATAAAAAATCAGTTTATTTCGACACTTGTGGCGATAATTTATTTGACCTGATGCAAAAAATGCTGATGCTTTAGTATAGTTCATAACTTTTATATTTAACAATTTTTTCTCCAAAGATAGCATCTGTAGGTGAGGTGCAAAATATAGAAAATACTCGGTACATCCTTTTTCTCTTCCCATTCACAGTTGTTAGTTGCTCCCATATTAAAGGGAAGAATGTATTACTGACAAAAAAAATAAGTTATTAGAACAGTTGTCTTTCAAGGAAACACAAATAATGTTGACTGTGTCTTGTCATGATTGTTTGTCTGACGTTAGTGAAGCTGTATATTGTCCTTTAAGTAGTTAGGTAAACGTAATAAAGCAAGACCATAAGAACTGTATATTTTCAAGATTAAATGAAAAATAATAATTTCCTGAGCTGCCATCTACAATACAAATTTTAAATGTTACTCTGGTTGTTATGAAAACGGTCATCGTTTGTGCAGATGACGTGATGGAAATAGTTTTGTTAATTGGTGTAATTATAAGATATTGCTTTGTTAATTGAGGTTACTCGTACCACACACATGCTTGGTAAATAAAAATTTTCTGTGGTACCAAGTATTTTAATTCACATTATTCACATTATCTCGATTATTTCTAACGTGTATGACGGTCTGTGAATGCATTTTACCGTTATGTGAATCACGATCAATTTGTGAAATAGGGTTCCTCAAATTCACTGTGGGCGAACCTCTGTGGCATGCTTACTTGTTTTAAAGGGGGCATTTATATGCGAAATTTTTTGTCCAGCTTTTTAGAAAAACTAAGCAAGTTAGAAACAAATATCTCTTCACTGTACCAGTTATATAAATTTTCTTCCGGGTATAAGACAACCGATAATACGTTGAAAATAAGGGAAAAAGCATATTTTTAACTCGTATCTCACGTTTCCTGAATTTTGTACACCTGTTGAACATACAGCTGGAAAAAAATAGGAAAGATACATTTTCTGATGTTTACATGTTCTCCGTGATCTTTCAGTGTGAAAAATTAATGCTCTAGTTTAGCATTACGCTTAGTCACTTCCTGGATGGATATACTTGTTTTATCATTGTCTTACTAAAAGTGCGATTTCTCGTCTATAGCGCCAACCTTAATACTAAGTGAAATCAGAGTATCATAATCGTTACGTAGAAATCGTTTCCAATAAAAAAGAATAATGCAATGGTAAATATAATGCTTATTAATAGTGATGATACCCTCACAATTTTTTTATTTACATATATCTGATCTGAAAAATGAAGTGAGCGTCTATTGTTTATCGATCAACATTTTGATGCAATAATTTTTAGTGTTCTGTGGAGATTCTTTCACCTTCCAAGGATTATTACTTACTGCGATTTCAATGCATTTTTAAATGTTTCAGTACATTTATTATTTCGACCTGAATGACGTTATCCATATTTAAATAAAATCGGGTCACAACATTACTGAATCTAGTAAACCTTCATTGAGTGATATACCTACCATAGATTATAAAGCAAGAGTGTCGTGTTTCACATCGTAAAAGTGCAATTATAAATGCCTTTTAAGTTTAAAGTATACAAAATGTATAATTTAGGACTCCAAATTTAATACAAAGAGACCATTTTTTTAAAGCAAACACCTTTGGTGGTATAACTAGTCTCAAATCGAAGGACCCAATTACATTAAAAAGTGATCTCGGTCAAAACTGGAAATTGGTTGTGCTCCATCACCGTTTCTGAGGATAACAGTCACAGGGATCGAAAAACAGGCATGTGCAGCTTTTGGACATGTAGATTTGGCCACTGATATATAAAAAGCGTGTTCACCTGCTTGGAGGGTGACTTTTGGCGCATTTGAGTGGGTGGAGAGGATCGAGATAGCGGGACATTATTTTTGTGAGGTCTACATCCTCAGAAACGAGAATGAAGGAGAACGGGTCGGTGGAACAGATCAGAGACACATGTAACCTCTTTTGGAGTTGGTTCTTGGCCATTGGGATGGGTGGAGGGATATTGGGATTGCGTATATGGTATGAAAATGTGTTCATGGGCTTTATCTCATTTGAAAATGATTGATGAAGTTAGATGTGACCGGTAGATAGGTTAAATATGCGTTTATCCCTTCTGAGCAGTTATTGGCGTTACAGTACATGGGCTTTACCTTCCTTGCAAGTGGGTGACATAACTATCCGCATTCTGTTTTTACTCCATATACACACGTGTCTGAAATGCTAAAAAAAAGTGGAAAAAATAGACAAACAAACTGCCGGGGATTTTATGTTCCGAACTGTATTCCAGGGGCTAAAAATAACTCGTATCCACAGCAATTTTCAATTTTTACCGAGACCACTTTTTAATGTAACTAGTGCGTGGTCCTTTATTGCTGCCTTGGATGAAAATAAACCGATTAAGTTACGGTCTCGCAAAAATTACGGGCCTTAAACAAATTTTCCTTTTTTTTAACGTCTGTAACTTTTTTTTATGAAAACAAAACTGTATCACTCTACACATTAAGGAATAAAAGCTAGTTGAATTTGAAAAAGTGACTTACGTTTTTTTTTAAACTGCATTTTCAGTGATTTTAACACGAACATTTTTTTTGTGTAAAATGAAATTTCACATTACGATATACACTGTAAAAAAACTACGTTCAAAAATATATGTAATATAAATAAATAAATAAATTTGATTATTTGAACTGTTTTAATCTATTTTCAAGAGTAATAAATGTTTTTTGTTTATTTTAATATGTATTTAAACAGACTGTATTGAGAATTTTTATTTTGTTGTTGTTTATATCAATTTGTACTTAAAATTCTGATATCATTAAAAAGTGTGACCTGAAGATGGGGTGCATGTTGTACACCCTGAAACTACTAGCCAAATTTTATTAATAAAAAATTTTATTTTATTAGTATTTTAGATTTTAGTATTTTAGATTTTCTTTCCGAAAACCTAAAAAAATATATAATTTCAGATTCGAATTCTGGGGAAGACATACCCCTAAAAAACTAACCTTCTTGAAGTTACATCCTGTATATAAAATTGTATGCTGCAGATTGAAATTAATATATATTTTTTTTGTTGCAGCGTGATGGGATGATCGGATTGCAAGAATGCGGACCCGCGCCGCCTAGAGCGCCCCTGTCCGCCACGAACCGTATCCGGGAACGCACCGCTCTTGCTGTGGACTACTACAACACTCATGTGCACCGGGCCTGGGCTAACGCAGGACTCGCTGCCAACAGATCTAGCTTTAATGACCGCCACCATCATCACTCCACGCCTAGGAGACCCCAACATTTACCTCCAGAGCACCTCTGCAGAAGCAACTCCAGCTTAGAGTTGCTGGACCACAACAATCGACCGTCCAACTCGAACTCCCCTACATTGAAGAGGGAGTACGGCAGTCACGGGTCCATAGACGTTATAGACAGACCCTCAGGAGCTGTTGGCAACAATGAGTTCTTCAAGATGCTTCAGGATTATCGTCCTGCAGGCTTAGCCGGAACGGATCAGCGATCTCCTGGTCCTTCTGAATATCTCAGGGCTAAAGTAGACGGTTCTGTGGAGAAGTACTATATAGAGGAGGCCGGTTCTGGGCATCATCTTCCCCAGAGCCCTAAGCTCAGAAACAAATTAAAAAAGCACTTCTGGACCAACGGTAACGTGCCTGGCAACGCTGGCACCAAGAATCCAAGGCAAACAATGGATGATTCTGCGGTTAGTCACTCCTCCAGTTCAGCAAGTCTCACTGCAGAGGCTGAAGAGATAGCAAGACGTAGAGCCTTCGCGCATTATGACTGCCAGTCGCTTACAACAAATCTGAACTATACCGTGCGCTTAAGAAGAAACCTTCTTGCTAAACGGAGGAATACTGCCACAGGGGCATCAGCCGCATCTATGCTAGTCAGGTCGTCCACTCCCGATGGGGAAAATGAGGACGACTGTGGTGACGGTCAGAGCAACGACTTGGTGGAGAGCTGTCCCTTTTTCCGAAACGAGATTGGCGGAGAAGAGGAGAGGATTGTGAGTCTGTCTAGGTTGCAAAACGGGCACAATAGGAAACCTTTGCATAGACCGCCGCTGGCGTATGGTGTTGCTGTGCTGGAGTTTCCTCCCGGGGAGACGCATTGGAGGCATTCGACGTGTCCATACCAGAGGTTCCCCAGGCCGATAGAGAATGTGGATCAGGGTGCGCTGTATTATCGAAAGTACTTTTCAGGACAAGGTAAACTATTTATTTATATTTGTATATTATTAGATTATAGCAGAAACTATAGTACGATCGTATTCGATGCAAAGTAGAGCAAAAAATTGTCGGCCTTTTATCAAAGGAAAATCGTGTCATCATTTTTAGGAAGCGTAAGATGAACCATTTCAAATTTAAAATGAAATTGAATGTAAAATCTGAAATACCGCTGCAACGCACTGTGTTCTGGTACTAGCTGTAGTCGGCCAGGTGCATCGAGTGTACGAAGTGGTCGGTTATACGTCAAATACTAACTTGGCGAGCTTGATCGTAAAGCAGTGAACAATAAACAGTGGCGCGTACAGAGGTGAAATGTAGTACATATATGTGGAATTTAAATAACGAATTGGATTTATAATAAATTACATTTAAAACAAATAGTTTATGAGAATAAAGGGATTTTTGTAGGAACAGGGTTTCAGACGTGAACTGATCCCTTCATCGCACCCCATTACGATTCTTTTTTTTATAAGGAGAACGAAGTTTGAAAGCAAAAACCTTGTATAACAGATATACTTACTATAAATATTTACAGAATAAAAACAAAATATAAATCCTATGACATGATTCTATCAAATGAAAACACTAACAACAATTCTCTATCAATCTCAACAAAATAAGTTATTTTTCTATCAAACAAGAAATATTAACAAATTATAAACAAAATATAAATTCTATGATTTATATACTTTACGCCGAACTGTATTTTTCTCATCTTCATTTAATATTAATTTCTTCTTTCCACCCCCATTTTTAGGTTTCTTAACGTCTCCTTCATTTTTCTTCTTTCTTAAAATTTTGAAAACAGATGATTCGCTTACTACAGTATATCTAGAACACATTTCCACCAAACCAGTCTTCAGTTTCATGGGATGATCCTTTTCTAAAGCGTTATAGACATTTAATATTATCGTTTTTTCTCTGTAACTTATACAGATTTTTTTGTACCCACAGCAGTACATCCGGCTTGCGAACATCGAGGCACCACCTCCATTTCTCCATATAACGACAACAGAGCAATAATAATACAAAAACCTTCACTTCACTAGCACAGAAAATATAATAGCATTCACGATTCACAAACAACAGCCCGAAACACACACACAGCACATAAATAAAACACTAAAAACATTTTTGTTAATGAGTACAAAAAATATGATTTCACTCACAAATTCTCAAATAATAGCGCGAAACACACATACAGCCCGAACGAAATATAATTGCACTTATAACAGTTATAACCTCACAAATATCGCGCGCGAGAAACACGCAGCACCAATACAACCGAAACGAAACTGACCACGCCGGGCCGGCACGCGCGCCGCCGCGGCAAACACAAGACACAAGTCATATGAGGGAGGATGAAGGGAGTAATAAATGTATTGTTGCCCTGCCGCCCAATGTGCGAAGGAGATGCCTTTGTTTTTCATTTTGTTCTTCATAAATATATAACTTTTAATCCATAATGCATAAATTATTCAATTTCCAAATTCCCCTAAAACGTGTTGCACTGATTCCCTTGACAGGCAATGATTTATTACTTTGCATCGAATATGATTCTACTATAGATAGATTAAGTACTCTCTATAAAATTTGAAGTACCTACGTGCTGTAGGGTGCTTTTCCCTTCGTGCGGATTTCTTCGTAAATTTTGAAATATGTACATTCTATACATTAAGTTTCAGACTCATGAGATGTGTATTTATAACTACTTCAAAGTACTGACCTTTCTAAAAATATGTTTAGACTGTCATAGGTTTACAAAGCAAGTCCATTTAATAATTTTAAAATAAATTACAGTACATTTTACATAGTTTTATACGTTTGCAGCTACATAATAAGAAATAGCTACATTTGCTGATAATTCTTCAGCAACCAAATACTGGTAAAAATTAAAGTGATATTTTGATAACAAACGGAACCTAGGTATATCATTTTTAGAGGATGATTTCTAAGCTTACATAGAAAACATCCATGACGAAAGAATTTCGGTGAAATTTGTAAAATAAATAAATAAAATATTGGTTGCCCTTCCTGAGATAACGAAATGGGTTTCAGATACTATATTTATATTTTTTCATCAATTGATATATGGTATCAGGAGCTTTCTTACTTTTTACAAAATTTTATGTTTTTACAGCTATGAAGTTTAGTATCAAATTAAAACTACTATTTAAAATTACGAAAAAATGTAATTTTGTAAAATGCAAAAAACTGGTTATATCTATTAATTGTTGCCTATTGTGCATGCTGCTAGTGGTAGTATAAAACAAGCTCGTGTTAGGTGCAAAAGCAAGCAATGTCTCGGCTGGAGTATCTGATTTCATTGAGTGATAAGACTACTGCCTTCAGGTATTTACGTGCTTACAATCAAACGAATACAATGAAATGTCATGTATGGAAGTCTCGTCTTTGTATCCGTATAATCTAAAGCTCACATTGGTGCTCAACCCAATTCTATTTAGGTTCCATTTAGATGCTTGTTCAGTTGTCCATCTCCGGTAAAATACTCTAAGACAATTCGAATGTTGTTTCTGCTTAGCGATTTGTGTTAGCCCATGGACTGCTTGACCTTCCTTTAGCCGCTGTTTGATCCGGTCAATCGTCAATCTTGTTAAATGTCATTATATCTATCCGTCGATCTCGGGGCGAGTAGTTATTTTAATATTTATTTCACTAATTTCTCCTAACTTTTTTCGTTATCAAAATTTTCTATTTGGACTTATAAATCATCCCCAAAAACGGCATTGGCTCTACGCTTCATTTTCAAAATATGACAATGTTAATTTTCTACAGCAACCACTTACAAAAAGAGCTAACCTCAATAAATCATGAAGGATAAGCAAAATCTATAGATAATCCATAAGTACTTCATGATGGTAACAAAAAAGGGGAAAAACATCCTGGGTATGTGAAATTCAATTAAGGTTTCACCCTAAAAGAGAACAGTTTTTGCGCAGGCCCATGCGATTAGTTATCCACATGTTTACTTATACTTTTAATTCAGGTCATTGCCTATATTTGAGGTACAATAGAGAATTCGATATTTATTCCATTTCGTGTTATGCCACTCTTGTTATACATACTTGTTATAAAAAGAAGTAACAATGATGGTTTTTCATTGAGCGACCAATAAATTTGAAAATTGAATGTTTATTTCTGCCCCGAAAAAGGAATTTTGATAATCAAAAGTTATTTTAAACTCAGTACGCATATTTCATGAGGCTAATATTTTATGTTCCTTACTCGTATGATTCAATTTGTTTTTCTTTCACAATATTGTCAATTGACAAATTATTATTGTTTTGGCCTCGACATTACATATATGGCAATGTAATGCAAAATACTTTTTTACCAATTTAAAAAACATTTTATTCGGCAAGGTCATATGTCGCATTCCCAAAAATATTTTAGTCATTTATGTCAGAGATTACGCAGTTATATGTGAATTTATCTCCATTGCATATCGTGTTACCAAAATAAACGAGAGAAAGTTGGTACCTTCATATTTTTTTTCTTTACAAATGGGACATTAACGCGACAAGATAATTGCGATACTTACTGTAATTAGCTCGGTAATTAGTATAATTGTTAACTGTAAAAACTTGTATTTAACACTTTTTTATATTTAGCAATAGATTATTATTTATTTAAAGAGTTTATGACGTGGCTATAATATCTTATTCTGCTGTTTTCTGTATTTCGTCAAGATAGGAACCAATGAAATTATATTATGATTGGAAAATAAATAGTACAGTCATTGAAGCTGAAAATCAGCTGTACCTAACCTCCGAATTCTTTGAAACTGCATGGATTTGCATGAAAATTAAGAATAAGGCTCATCTTAGGCTCAAGTTCAAAAGTGACATAAGCCCGATTGACACTTTCTGTTTTTTAGGGGTAAAAACTACTTCTAAGTGAAAAAAGAAAAAATTAAGTTTTAAACATTTCATTGATAAAAATCGTGCTCAAGCACAAATATTAAATAATGTTCCATGTTCTTGAACATGTTTTATGATATATTTGATCTTTTCGACCCTTTATTTCACTCTAAAAAAGTACCCTTATGAAAAAAATAATGATAAAAAATTACTTTTTAATGATTTGGAATGATTAAATCGTGCAATTATTTAAAATAAAAGTTACCTTATAGCTAATAAAATAATTTTTCCCTTTCAACCCCTAAAAACCACCCCTGTATTGACAAAAATGATAAAAAATTACTTTTTAAAAGCTTACATTATTCAAAAAATACGCATTTTAAACCTGTCTAACTAACTTCAGGCTCGTATGAAAAACACTAAAACAAAATTAATTGTAAAGAGTCTTCGATTAATTTTAATTATGATGGAAATGGTACAGCATTTACTGCTCATTTTTCCTTAAAAAATATGAGCAACCCATCTGTTTTTGACAATAACTCCTTCAATTTTGCTCTAATTAACTTTTATAAGTCATTTTGTAGGTCTTTTTGAGTACTACAAAAAACTCCTGGAGCGTTATATACGTAAAATTAATTCGTTTTCCGTTATTTGACGTTGAATACATCGATTCGAGTATTCCCCCCAAAACAAGTCTCCTTCCACTAACCATATTTCGCTTTGTATAGGACGTACAACACTTTTTAAAAAACAATTTTCTTTGTTTATTTATAAGCTATATTTTTGTTCATTACATTTTTGTTCATTCGCGAAAAATACTTTGAAAAAATGTTTTCAGTCGCGAATAACTAAAAAAACTATTGATTTCTCGAAAATATTCTTCGAATATTTTTCCAGCGTTATTTTTGAAAAAAAATTTCCACCCTCGAGAAGGGGTGTTAACCCCAACAGGGTGGAAGCTTCAATCGGCGCTATGTCACTAATGTTCATCGACCTTTTCTCTAACTATCTGCCAAATTTCAAGTCGATCGGTTCAGTTTCAAAGAATTCGGAGGTGAAAAGCTTCAATGACTGTACTAAAAAGCGTTTTTCACTAGG